TCTCCTTGTGTTGTTCCCCCCAGGTCAGGAAACTGAGCCACAGCAAAGGGATGATTTACCCAGAGTCAGCAGCAAGATTAAATTACACCCCCTCCACCCCCATTTTCAGGCGCCCAAGCCTCTGTTCTACATACAGGCACTTTCCATCTGTCATCAAGTAACAAGCAGCTATAAACACAAAGAGAAGCTGTGTGGCAACAGGTGATTTGGGACTTCAAAAGGATTCAGCCAGAATGAAAATTACTTCTTCCAGTCAAGTTTTCAGCCCAACTGAGTTTGCAAGAGAGGCAGAGACCAGAACCCTGAAAAATCATAGTGGCCAGAAGGCCTTGGTATCAGCCTTCCATGGACTTGTGTGGTCCCCATTAACATTGAAGACAAGCAGCTCTCTATCTTTGCCCTAATCACTTGTGTGAGGTAGAGCACTATTAGCACCCTTATACAGATCAGATGCTGAGGCCTTGATCCTCACAAGTATTTAGATATCTAACATGCACTGATTTTAGTAGACCTAAATACCTTTGGGCTAAGTACAGACAGTCAAAAAGCCCAAGGCTGAATCAATTCAGAGTTTGCAGGTTAGTCTAAATTGCAGAGATTAAACTGAAAAACAACTGGACCAACATTTACCTTTGAGTCAGGAAATGAAGCTACGTAACTGCAGTGGCTCAGGCCAGGAGCTGGTAGGTGCTAGAGCAGAGCTCTCTAGCACATAGCTAGCATGGGATGTATTCACTTCCTCTTCCTGCTGTCCCTGAGGTCTCTGGGATTGGTAGTCCAGAATCACAACAGCAGGACTCTACAGGGTTGCTCATCACTTTCTCTTCCTGCTTCCAGGCGCCTCTGGGATTTTTACTCCACAGTCACAGCTAGCAGTACATTTGAGTGGTGGGGAAGGGGTGCTTAACCCTACATTCCTGGCCCTGGACCTCAGCCTAAGTTTGCCACAGGGGACAGTGAGCCAGTTAGAGAGCTGAGGGGCAGGGCCAGCCATGCTCTTTGAAGCAGACAATCTAGCCCGACCCAGGGCTTCAAAGCGTGCCGGGGGACTCTGATTAAACTTAAACCAGGAAGGGGTCTGGGACAGAAGTTTCATAAACCGGTTTGACATCAATCAGTTAAGTCTGATACTACATTCAACCAGGTTTATCTTAAACCAGTCTCAGCCATTTTGAAATGGGTTTATGCACACTGAACTTCTGTTCTGTTACAGGTTTAAATCAGTTTCTGATTACTTAAATTGGTTTATATGTATCTTCTCTCCCTAGCCTTGGAGATCAGAGCTAAATAGTCTACGTAATTTGTCCACAGATGCATAGAAAAACTGCAGCAGAGCAAGGACTTGAACTCAAATCTTCCAGGGCCCTGGCTAGATCATGCATCCCCCCTCTCAGTTTTTGGGGTCAATGAAAACTTAAGCCAAGGGAGGAAAAGTGTGAAAATTGAAGGATTTCAAAGGGACTTCTTTCTGTGGGAAAGAATCTGTATAGCTGTGGCCTAATTACATGTCCTAGGGACTTAATAAACTGTGAATCAGATTTGCAAAGGTACTTGTGGTACTGGCACACAACCTGATCATTATGAAGTAATGTATTCTGTAATTCAGTAATTTTACTCTGTAGTAAATTTACTCAGGTGTAAAGGGTGAATACATAACCAGCTCCCCTGACTTGGCTGCCCACAGCAGAAAGAGGTCTTTAGCTATGCTAGACTGAAGTCGGGCAGAAGGCAGAGTAGATTTGCAACTTTGGGATGCCTATACATGAGCAATGAGGCTGTTTCAATGTACTGTAATTACAGCATGTCAGAGCAGGCTCAATTAATCGAGTCTGCTGGAGTATGGTAATTAACACACTCCACCAGACTCCAGCATCTTGTGTATCAGCGTCCCTGTGCTTTAAAATGGGGGTGCTTTAGCTAAAGCCCATTGAAAAAACTTATCTAAAGTACCCCCGCTGCCATTTCGAAGCATGGAGATGCTGATACACAAGATTCTCTGGGCAGTTTAATTAGAGCAGCTCTCAGAGGTCCTTTAATTAAAGTGCCGCCCCACGCATGTATAAATGCCTTTATAGACTGACTAAATCAGAGCTGTATGGCATAAGCTTTCATAAGCAGAGGGTTTACTTCATCAAGCTGTGAAAGGACTGCAGGAAACAGAGCTGCTAAATGGAAAGCAGTGGTTAGAATACAAAGGGTAGGGAATGGGGGAGGAAAAAGGCAGGGACGCTGCTGAGAAAGGCAATGTGCTCACTTTGGCAGCACACACACACTAAAAAATAGGAGACAGAAAAACAAATCTGCCTGAAGCAGCCACTACAGCACGTGGCCACTAGGTGGCTGAAGAGCCAGACTGCATTGAGCAAACAGCTACCCCAGACCAAACTGAGCAGAGCCACAGACACACAGCTGTAGTGAGTGTGTCTACACGAGATGCTTTACTGCGCAGTAAACTAATCTACTGCACAGTAAAGCGTCACTATGTAACCATGCACAGCAGCTACGGTGCATAAAAACAGGCTAATACATGGTTTTCTACTACCTGGAAATAGAGGTTTATTGCACTTTAGCTAATGTGCAGTAGCTCACGGTTACATAGGTGACCAACAGCAAATGGATCCTGGTCAGCCCAGGCAGCAGGGGCAGGAGAACTGTCCCTTCCCCCAGGTAGTTGCCTGCTTCCCAGCCCCTGCTCCAATCAGCAAATCAGAGAGGAGGCTGGGAGAATGTTCCCTGCCCCGCAGCAGGCAGCTGCTGGCCCCAGCTCTGAGATTGGCTGGGACACTGCCCCTGTCCCAGGCAGCTGCTTGCTATGGGGGCAGGAGACATTGTCCTAGCCCCAGCTCTGAGATCGGATCAGGGTTGGACAGTCAGCAACTGCCTGGGGCAGTGGCATGGGGTGTGCGGCAGCTCCTCCAGAGGCAGGAGAGTTCCTCTTTCCCCCCCTGCGTCCCCCTCCCAAGCTCAGGCCTGACTCCAGTGCCCGCTGCCACCCTGGGGAGCCTAGAGCTGTCCCTGGATGCTATATGGGAGCAGAGCAGGAGTAGCTTCAGACCCAATTTTGCTCCCAATGGGCACATGTGTAGACACGCTGTCAGGAAAAGTTTACTGCACAGTATTTTACTGCGCAGTAGGCTTTCTGTGCATTAATTGCATGTGTAGATATGTCCACAGTGATGTAACCCATTCCAGTTCATAGCTTCTCTTCACTTTCTGAGGAACACCTGTCCTAGAATGGAGTGACTTACATCTGTGTAAGGCTGTACCTTATGGGTGTTTATTCACGTGCTTTGGGAGTTCAGGGGTAGGGAGGGGGACTTTATTTAAAGCACGTCCAAGAGCCGCTCTACTTAAAGTGCCCAGAGCATTGTGTATCAGTGTCCCTGTGCTGAAAAATGGCAGTGCAGGGTGCTTTAACTACAGCTCGTCCAACGCTTTAGTTTAAGTGCCCCTGCTGCCATTTTTCAGTACAGGGATGATGATACATGTGACGCTGGAGTTTGCTGGAGCGCAGTAATTACCATGCTCCAGCAGACTCAATTAATCAAGTCTGCTCCTACACACTGTAATTTCAGCATGGTAGAGCAGCCTCACTGCACACGTATAGGTGTATAGACATAGGGCTCCTATACGCTCCTCTATAACTCCAAAGTAAAGTCAAAAGATTGCAGACTAAATGTGTCATGTGTCCACACCCTTAAGGTCTTAAAAATAAAGACAAACACCTAGTGACACTTAGAAAGACAACTATGCAGGTTAGACATTTCATTTAATTTCAGTGGTGCTAGGTGCCTAGCTTGCATGGGGCAATCTGTAACACGGGCCTTCTATCCCTAAATGATATTGGAGCCACTTTGTGCTCTGCACTGCATGGGTCTGAAGCTGCACATAGATGGTACATACATGCTCTTTCACTGCAGCTGATGAAGTGAGCTTCAGCTCATGCAAGCGTGTAATACACACACACGCACACACACACACAGAGGTGTTGATCTACCCTGCATTGTGTTCAGCATCAGACTAACATGGCTAACTGTGGTGCTGTACGTAGTACAGTCAAGCTGTGTTCAGCGGTACCTGAGGAGCCCAGAGAGCAGGCTCGTGATATGGCACGAAGGGCTAAGCTGAGCCAGTGGCAGGGTGCTGCAGGTGCCACTCCTGCATGTCACAGACTTGCTCCTGCCAACAGCAGCTACTGCCAGTTTCTCTGTGACTCATTCAAACTCTGCTTCACAAGTCAGCAGGGAGGAACAACTGTAACAGTTGCCTAATGAATCCAGCAGCTAAGATGTAGGAATACCTGGTCAAAAGGAGCTTCCACTTTCCTGCCTAAGCAAACCCATTGCCAGGGCTTATTAGAGGCAGGGGTTTGCAGAGCAGAAGCCTGTCTGAGAGCAAAACTAAGCAGAGACCCAGAGCAACCTGCAGGGCTTTTGCCTCTGGGACCAGAGCAACCTGCAGGGCTTTTGCACTCAGCGGGCAGCTGAGTGCATCATGCATTGTGCAAGGGGTCCCTCTGCCGGACACCCATGGCTCGACCAAGATGGGAAACAATTCACAAACAAAGGGGGAAATGCAAACTCTGGGCCTTTCTCATAAGTTTGCATCAGCTATTCCACTGCAACATCCAAGACCACTGAGGAGCACTGTACACGCAGTCCAAATCCCCAGCTGGCTGGGGCCGGTGCAGCCCTAGCACAGGTTCTTATAAGGTCTATGTTCCCTGTCACAAGGAAGCATTGGCTGCTGGTGTCACAGCCCAGGCTGTCCCTCTGCCGGCTTTTGATACTACACTGTGTCCAGAATGCAGCTCTCTGGGACCTCTCTTCCTGGAGAAACACAGCCCTAACACAGATCTTCTTCAGCCCTCAGACACTTCTCAACACCCCCCCACCCCAGCGGAAATGCTGTGATGCCTTTCACCAGCCTTACACTATACCGCCTGCCATGGGACTCCACCTGTGTACTGAATATCACCTTTTCTCTCTGTCCTCCTTCAGGGCCTCCTATCATCTCCAGCACACAGACTCAGCATGCCTTGCACGGGGAGAAGGGACAGATCAAGTGCTTCATCCGCAGCACCCCTCCGCCAGACAGAATCGTGAGTACCCCCTTCCCGTGTCTCCAGTCTGAAGGTTATGTGCAGGAAGAGGCAGCTGCTACTGTCTACCACCCCCACCCCACAGCCTTGCCAGGCCCCTGCTAGATAAAAAGGTCAGGCTTGGGCCACTGTGGAGCATCCTAAACCTGCAGAAACTCATTAAGGGACAGGGAGAAATACCAGTGGCTTTTAATCACCTTGGTAATAAGCAGGAGGCCTCTGAGCCCTAGACCCTCTCTCTGCTGGGCCTCCACTCCTTGCTGAATGAAGCCAAAAGCATTCCTCTCTCCCCCAGGTGCTGAGAGGTGCTCAGATACCAGCAGCTATTTTAAGTGCTTCTAGACAATTGCTTTGCAATGGCCAGTTGATTCTGTTTGGCTCTTTGCCTCACACCCACGCAAGCACAGAGCAGCGTCCCAGTTTGACACATGTGTAAAGTGCAGTTGCAGTCAGAACAGCAGTCACAGAGACAGTGGCACAGGGCTGTACATGCCTGTCTCAAATCACATGAACTGAGATCACCAGCCAGAAGCATTTCCTAAGGGCTAGTGCTACAAACGCACCATGGTGTCAGGAAGTTTAGTTGGGTCCTGTCTGCTGCCGACCCAAGAAAGTGTCTGTCCTTGGAAGTGAGCTGAGAATCAGGTTGATGGTGGACAAGGCAAACAGCTCCATCCCTGGCTCCCACAGAGAACATGAAAGAATTGTTTAACCCTGCAGTGATCTGTCTGATCCATTCTCCTGTTGTAGCAATCATGGGGTCCAATGTAAAATCCTCTAAACCTGACTGGAAGTGGACGTTGAGTGTAAGGTGGATCTGGGTCTCTTGTTGGGCAATCCTTTCCTCTGTGCCTAGACACAACTGCAGCTGGTGCAAATAGCATTTTACGCTGCCTCTCAAACCTTGAGGGGAGGATTTTCAAAAGTATCTAAGTGACTTAGGAGCGCAAGTCCCAGTAGCTTTCAATGGGAACTTTGCTCCCATGTCTCTTACTGGATGAACTTGTAAATTAGCTATCTGATGGCTACAACATGTGCCCTCAGGTACTTGGAGAGCAGAAACAAAGCCAAATGGAGGCTCTTTTGGACAGGATTATTTGAGCAGGACTAATTTCTCGTATTGATTTGCAGGCCTGGTCCTGGAAGGAGAACGTGCTAGAGTCAGGAACCTCTGGGCGCTACACAGTGGAGACCGTCAGCACAGATGAAGGTGTTATCTCAACACTGACCATTAGCAACATTGTTCGAGCTGATTTCCAGACCATTTACAACTGCACTGCCTGGAATAGCTTTGGCTCAGACACTGAGATCATCCGGCTGAAAGAACAAGGTGGGAGCTGCAAACAGCACTTAGACACCAGAAGGGACTATCAAGCACTGGTAGCTTGCATCTGGCTAGTCGGTAGCAGCAGGGGGAGTTATTTGAGACACAGGAGACACTGGGCACATCTACAAGTGGTTACTGCACATTTATTTAGTACTTGTATAATCAAGTACTAAATAAATGCACAGTAACTGGGGTTACTGCTTAGTAGCACCAGCGAATGCCTTTTTACTGATACCACTGCGCAGTAGCGTAATAATACCGTGCAGTAGCATATTAGCACTGTTTGTGCTGTGACATGCTACTGTGCAGTATTATTCAGCTACTGTGCATTGTGTCTCATGTAGACGCTACCAAGTAGAAGGGCAATGGGGATGCTTGGGAAGGATGATGAGGTGTCCCTCTCTGCTAAATGTCCTAGCTTTGGGCTCAGTCCCTGAGGGCCCAGGGGCCTGGGAGTCGAATAGGTAGATGGGAAATGCTCTACAGAGCCAAGGCTGCCTGATGTCAATGGGATCTTGTGTGGCTCACACTGGGGTTGATCCTGGATACGACCTCAGTTATCATTGACAACAATGGGAGCTGACTAAGCACCCAGCAAGGCTGAGCCCATCCACATGGGGCAGAGGCAGGAGGGCATTGTGAGCTAACTGATGTGTGAGCTGCTCAGGACCCCTTGCTCCACAGCACAAAACGCTGTTGTTGCCAAGGGCTGGAGGAGGTGGTGAGCTCCAGTGATCGTCCCCAGAGTAGATGGGATCTGAGGCACCAGGACCTGTTGATGTGACATGGTCAGTGATTCTGGCTGGATCTGCATAATGCAAGCTGACAACAGCTATCCTGTCCAGGGGGCATTGGAGTGACTGCCATTGTATCTCATTATGCTGCACTGTTGTGCCACCCAACGAAATAGGGCATCGGCCTAAGCATGCCAAGCTAGTCTTTGGAGCAGAGTGCCCACTGGGTGGCATGCTGCACGCTGGGAGGGCTCAACTGAGAGAACCCATTGCAGCCAGCAAAGGGCATGGCAGCACCTGAAAGAAGCTAAGCAGCAACCTAAGACATCCTGGGGCAGATCCGGCTCTTCCCTGCAGGATGATCACAGTGCAGGAGGGAGGAGATGTCTCTGTAAAAAATGTTTTTCTACTGGAGGGACTCCAGTCCTATTCTATTTTATTAAATGCCAGGGCAGGCAGGTGGATTGTTCTCATTAAGCTCTGATTTATAGGCAAGGCTGCCATCCAGATTAAATCAGAGCTAAATGAACCCCTTAAAATTAGCCTTGGGCTTCGTCCAATACAAACAGTCAGTGGTTTTTTCCTGGGTCTTCTGCCAGTCAGTGCTAACACACAGCAGTAAGATTGGGTCCCAGGGGATGGGTTGATGGAGTCAATTAAATGATTCCCAGTAGGCAGTGCTACAGGCCTATTGCTCTGGGTTCCTCAACTCATAACACAGCAGGGAAGTGGAGCTGGACCCTAGTGGCTGTGGGTGACCATGCTGGGTCTCACAAGGGCTCTGGGGTTCTCGCAGCTGGTATGGCATTGGAACTAGTCCCTAACAGTGGCCCACTGGCAGCGACTCCCAGTGGCAGAGCCAATAGGAAAGTAGACCTAGTGACTGTCCCTACTAGACAATGGAGGTGAAGCTATCAGGTGTCTTTACACTACATCAAAGTAATGCTCTGGCAGCAAACCGCAGTGCAGTCCTGGACTGTATCTCTCTGTCCCCCTGTACTGGAGCCCCAACAGATGCCTCTGTAGGGTGGCAGAGGACACCTGTTTGAGGGGACTTTCGTGCACCATTGCATCTGAACTCAGCAAAGAAATACTGACATGTGCACTTGGGCTCGGCAAGGCTGTGGACACTTGTTTGTTTTCAAACAGGTACGGAAATGAAATCAGGAGCTGGTATGGAAGCAGGTATGGAATCATGAGCTGAAGGTGAATATGTGAATTGCCCCCAGCTGTCACCACTCTTTAGCACTCAGCAGCAGCTTCCCCATCACTGAAGGAGAGCCAGGGGGAGGGCAGGGCAAAGTCCAGAAGGCTATGACCAGCAGCAGGGGGCAGTGGACAGGGGTGGGCTGGGAGTCAGGAACCCTAGATTCTAGTCCCAATTCTGCTGCTGACCTGCTGTGCAAACCTGGCCAAATCCTACTGCCTCTCAGGGCTTCAGTTGCCCCATCTGTCAAATGGGGCAATAATACTTGGCCACTTTGATAAAATGTGCAAAACTGAGCAGTGAAGTGACACAGGTTTAGTTTCAAAATGCAGAGGGGGGGGGCAGATGACCAGCTCTGATAAGTGCTAGGAGTATCATAAGAAAACCACCCCAGAGGAAGGAACAGTGAATTTTCAGAAGGAAAAGTCACTCCCAGCCATAGCTGTTTTTCACCTGACTGGGAGAGAAGGCTTAGATGAAGCAGGAGTGGATGTGAAGTTGGCCCCATCCTGGGATCAGGCATTGGTAACTGCATGCTTCATCTCCCCAAGCTACAGCATCTTCCATAAAGCCTGAACTAGGTTTCCTGGGGAACTGGAGTTGCTGACTTGTCAAACTGCAATGCGGAGACCTTTGTCAGCTCAGTGACTGCTGAGCCAACCATTGCTGTACCCAGCTGCCCAACCATCTCATCCAGCCTTTCCCATTGTAAGTGACTGTGTTTGCCATCCCAGGTGAGCCCTTGTCATTGTCTGCAATACATTCCTCATGTACTTCTCCAGCTGCTGGTCACATCACCCATCTAGGACCAAGACACCACCATCAACAGCCCCTTACTTGCCTCTGGACCTTGCTCCCTGCTGTCTTGATGCTTTGAACTATCAGGCATTGGCAATGATGCCCATTCCCACCTGTCCACTGCCCACACGTTTCTTGTTTCTCTTGAAGGAACAAGCAATCGCAGTCTTCATGATGGCTGCTCTGTGCAGCGATTTGCACATTCTGCATGAGCTTTGCCTAGCATAAGACATTCCCATTCAGATTGCTCACAGAAGTGGGCAACCAAACCTTTCGTCTAATTCCCACTGGATGACTGTGGCTCCTTCATTATAATTATATCGATCCACCTATGGGGTGCCCATCTCTTCAACCCATGGCTGTCTGTCCAGTCAACCTGCCATCTTCATTAATTGCACACTCAAGCATGCTGCAAATGAACAGCCACCTCAACTGGAAGCAGCACAGCCACCTTTGCTCAGCAGTTGGGGTGAGCTAATTAGCACTGTGGAGTGACAGCACCAATATGTGTGCCTCAAACCAAGTACCTGCCCCTGGAGCCATACAGGTGTGGCTACACTGCTTCCAACTTGGGAGGCAGCCTATCCAAAACAGTGCCATATGCTTGCGGGTGCCACTTCCGGGCCAGTCAGTTTACCATGTGGACACAGCAAGCAGCAAAGCCTGCACAGGGGCAGAAAAGGGGACAGTGTGCACAGGAGAACGCAACAAACACGTCTGTCATATTTGACAGGCTCTGCTGCAAACTTTGTGCAAGAGGCAGATGCCAACCACCAACTGAGATAAGTTTCCAAGAGCTCTCAAGGAGGCCCCACTCTGGCTCACTCTCCAAAGCTGCTGCTGGGCCCAGGTTGTCAGAGTGCCAGGCTGTAGCAACATTCAGGGCTGCATGCCTGGTGTGTTTGAGGAGCTGGAGGCGGCTGTTCCTAATGGGTTTGCTCTGTACTAGCTGCCAGCAGGTCAACCTGGCATCCATTGTCACAGAGCAGATGGGACCTGTCCCAGCGTGCTTGAGAAGTGGCAGAAGAGAAGGCGGAGGCCTTCACAGATGGATGGGGGACTTGCTGTAAACAAAAGAAAGGAGAAGTGTGCCTGGGAGAAGTCGGCACAGCTAGAGGGAAGGCTCACAAAAGATATTTGCCTGACTACAGCAGGATGCAGATACTGGCCCAGGAAAAACCAGCAGGCACTGAGGGGGCAGAGTGCCACTCACAGCCCTGCTGGGAGCAATCTGGAGCACCTGATGAGGCAAGTTACTTGGAAGAGGCAGTGTAAATCCAGGCAGTGTAAATCCAGGCAGTGAGATCTGCTGACACTAAGATGCTGCAACACTGGGCATCTGAGACAAGCTATAGGGAAATTAGAGATAAGCACTTGGCAATGTGGCTCTGAGCCTGGGGATGTAGCCCCTTGGATCGGAACTGACTACGACACTTCACGGTAGAAAACTACAGTCCGTGGTGTCAAAGCTACGTGTCTTGATGTCCACAAGCCTCCGCTCAGTGTTCTGGGCCCGGATTTCAGAGTAACCAGCAATCAAGTCAGCTCCAAAACTAGAGTTGTGCACTAAATTCAGTTGTGCGCTTACCTACAGTTGTGCACTAAATTCAGGAGTGTGCTTGGAAAAGGTACATGTAACACCCTGGCATGTTACCTCCTAAAGACTGCTTCAGGAGAGATACCAGCTAACAGAGGTTTATTGGTTTAGCTCATACAGTCAAGGATGGCGGTGAAAGGCCCTAGCTGGACCATAATGATGACTCATTTGAGGCAATGCTTATATTCCATTAACTCAGATATAGACAGTGAACCCTATCAGAAATATTTGATAATGCTGCTAACTGATTTTAATTTCTGGTCACTCCCAACTCTTAGTGATGATCTGGAACACAACACTAAGGACTAGAGTTGGCTGAAGACGTCTATTCAAATACTGACAGCAAATATACATATGTGGATTGTTCTTATTGCCCCTTTCTACTCGCTTGTCAATGAAATTTGACCAAGATTTATATTAAAAAGGTTGTATTAATGAGAATGTTACTTGCAGATCAAGAGAGGTGATTCTTCCACTCTGTTCACCATTAGTGAGGCCTTCCTTAGAGCACTGTGTCCAGTTTTGAGCCCCACACTTTAAGAAGGGTGTGGACAGGTTAGAAAGAATCCAGCGGAGAGTGACAAATATGATTAGAGGCTGGGAAGCTTGCCTTATGAGGAAAGGCTAAAAGAACTAGGGTTATTTCATCTGGAGAAGACCAGGGTGAGATCTGGCAACAGTCTTTCAATACCTGAAGCATAGTTATGAGGAGAATGGAGATGGGCTTTTCTCTGTGGCTGTAAGGGACAGGATTAGGAGCAATGGCCTCAAGCTGCACCAGAGGAAATTTAGATTGTAAATTTGGAAGAACTTCCTGAATATGAGGGTGATCAAGCATTGGAACAGGCTGCCCAGAGAAGTTGTGCAATCTCCAATCCTGGAAATTTTCAAGAGCTTATTGGACAGACACTTGGCCAGGATGGGTTAGTAAAGGGTGATCCTGCCTTGAGCAGGGGGGTGGACTGAAGTGACCTTGTGAGGTCTGTTCCAGCCTTACTTTCCTGTGCTCCTATGATCCTAAGATTTCATAGGCAAGACCATCTGTCAGCAGTGCTCTGAGCACTTGTATGAATGTGCATCAGGATGAGGATACCTGCAAAATATGTTCACATGACCACTGTGAGAGATCTTTGAGGATTTTCATAGATTCATAGATGTTTGGGTCAGAAGGGACCTCAACAGATCATTGAGTCCGACCCCCTGCCTAGGCAGGAAAGAGTGCCGGGGTCAGATGACCCCAGCCAGATGCCTGATCAGCCTTCTCTTAAAGACCCCCAAGGTAGGGGAGAGCACCATGTCCCTTGGAAGCCCATTCCAGATTTTGGCCACTCTTACTGTGAAGGGTGGTCACCCATCAGACTGGGGCACAGAATGGGTATCACATTTACCAAGGGACCAAAATTTTTTTCTCTGTGGGCATTTCTGTAGCCCCTACTGCCTCAGTACCCAGGGACACACATGCACAGACTCTGGGAACAGTGCCCACAATGGGATTTGATGCTCAGTCCCACGATCATGCCTCCTGCCATGCACAAGTGGTGTGGCAAGAAGCATGACTGTAGGGATCGCACATCTGATCCCACCACGCCTTTACTAACATGTCTGCCAGGATCCATAGTGATGGCACCAGAGGGCTTCGCTACTTGCAGGTGGTTTAGTGCTTGTCCACATGAGAAGGTGGCACTAGTGTATATTTAAACCAATGAATGATGTAGTTAATTAACTCTATTTAATGCAAACCCAAATCAGGCATTCTAATTTGGGTGTCAGAGCAGCTCATATTGCTTCAGATGAAGTCTGTTAGGAATAGGCTTTAGTTAAACCAAAGTAAGCTGCCCCGGAGCCAAAATCACAGCATAGATTGCAATGGTTTATCTCAGTGGTTTTCAACTTTTTTAGATTTGCGGCACCTATCAATAGACTCAAGGCCTCCCTCAAAAATGTCTGCTCTTAGTTTTCACTCCTTTTTTAACTATAGCAAAATAGTAGAGCAACTCTTCTGTTGCAAAGAACTCAAAAAGACCCCTAAAGGTCAGGATGTTTTTAACACTATGGATTCCTGCTTGAAAACTCTGGTTTGATCTTGTGAATCATGCTTGCACCCTTAATGGTACTAACATTGTGCAGCACTGCACAGCACCCCTGAAAGTACCTCAGGGCACCCCTGGTTGAGAATCACTGGTTCATCTGAATTAATTCAGCTATATGGTTTACATTAGTCTGCATTTCTCTTACCAGCCGCCTGTTCTCGGGGAGGTTCCACCTGCCTTGAGTCGCAGCCCAGGCCTCCCTCTAGTTAAACTTTCAGTCAGTCTGGGAGAACCAAATGCTCTGGGTGTAGATGACAAAAGAAAATGGTTTCTGGACCCAGGCCCCAGGCTGGGTCCCCAAACCAGTCCGCCCCCTTCACACGCATCAGCCTCTGTGATGCAACTGCTTCAAACATAGACAGTAGAAGTTTTCAATGCAGCATTTTCACTTTGTCCTGTGATAACTATGCACAGTCCTTGAGTGGGGAGAGTAGCTATAGAGCAGGCACCAAAGGGGTCCAGGTGGGCTCAGAGAAGGGGCTGTCCCAATGACATTGTGGCGTTTCATATATTCATTCTCCTGTACTGATTCCACATCCGATGGGGTGTTATAAGTCAAAGGGACATTTGTTTTCCTAAATGCCAGCTCTTCAGTTCCTGTGAGTGTCCAGCAATAATAACAGCCCCACATTTAGCATGGAGCTGGGAAGTTTGCTGAAGATGCCTGAGGCAGGATAGAGCCCAGCTCAGTTTCTGGTAGACAGATCAGCTCCTACATGGCGAACAGATGTAATGGCCTCTGCCCTGAACCGCAGTAGAGTCATTGTGAGTCCCCCTAGGGAACAGCAGCTAGGAGGAGATTCCCTAGCTTGACTATGGTCCGTATCACTCCATGCCCTAGACCAGGGGTGCTCAGCCATGGCCCACAGGCAAGATCTAGCACCTGGTTCCACATGGTCCAAACCATAGGACTCTGCACAGATCTGGGCTCTACCCTGCCTCAGGCATGGCCACGGTCCTATATGCTAGATTCCGTATGCAGGGCAGCACAGGTCCCAAGCCCAGCACATAAGGCCAGGCAGAAGCAGTGTAGGATCCCCCAGAGCCTTACCCCAGCCAGGCAGGGGCAACATGGGATCCCTGGAGCCCAAACCTGGCACACAGGGGCTGGGCAGAGACAGCGTGGGGTGGCCAGGGGGTGCCTCACCATGGTGGTACAGCCAGCTTGGGGCTCCCAGAGCCTTATCCTGGCCAGGCAGGGGCGGCATGAGACCCCTGAAGCCTGAATCCAGCACACAGGGGCTGGGCAGAGACAGCATGGGGCAGGTAGGGGTGCTTTACCATGGCACTGTGGCCAACTCAGGGCTTCCAGAGGGAGGGCGGCAGAACAGGGTCCAATCCCAATGGTGTAGAGTCAGTGCAGGGCCTGGCCTAGCCCGCAGACCAGTCTCATGCCATTCAACTATGGGCACCACTGCCCTAGACCAAGCAGAGACAGGGGCCAATGGCTGGTGGCAGTTTAGGCCTGGGAGATCTAGCTTCTACTCTGCCACAGACTTCTTATGTGGCTGTGGGCAAATCACTTAAGATCAGTTCCAAACAAGGGACTTAGGCAAAATGGAGCTGCCTAAAGCTAAGTGAGAAATCTGCAGGGATCCTTCCTACTGCCTCAGTGCCTGGGAAGCTGGAGACAGCTATGTGTTTTAGTAAGGATGTACTTAGGTGCCTCAAGTCCTGGTACTGAGCAGGCCCAGAATTGCCTGTCTCACTAAGCTGAGTATGTTGATGTCTGCCTCTCCTCTAGACCTGCTGGTGAAGTCCAGGCTTGGCACATCCCCTACCTATATCCCTTGGTTGGGTAGGCATGCTCAGAGCGTGCCCTACACACCCTGGGAGCATTGAGCCTCTTACAAAACACAGCAGCCCTGGGAAGGAAGGGTGGGGAGGGGATATGCTGGTATTTTTCTTTTATATAATACCCATGGGCTTTTGTCTAGCAGTGTCAAAAAGCCAAAAAGAATGTTAGAAATTATTAAGAAAGGAACTGAAAACAAAAGAAAGCGCATTATGCCTTTCTGTCACACCAAAACGTGCCTGCAACCTGAATGTGGTGTGCAGTTCTAGTCATCCCATCTGGAACTAGAACTAGAAAGGTGCAGAAAAGGGCAGAAAAGATGGTCTTGGAGATCAAACAGCTTCCATCAAAGAGAAACTGAAAAGTCTCTTTAGCCGGAAAAGAGATGGCTGAGGGGGGAATGTGATAGATGCTCATAAAAGCAATGAATGATGTGGAAAAAGTGAATAGAGACCTGTTATTTGCCATGTTACCTAATACAGAAGTAGGTTGCACCTAGTGAAATGAGCAGGCATCAGCTTTAAAACAAACAAAAGTACGGTTAAGATGGGGAAGAGAAGGTTGTGGAGGCCATTAGCAGAACCAGATTCAAAAGAGATTAGACAAACGCATGCAGGACGGGTCCATCTGGGATGTCACCTACTGCTTGGTGATGGCGAGGGTACGACAAAGGAGGAATCTTTCTACCTTGTTTCTCACGCTCTTCTTTCAAAGCATCTGCTGCATGTCACTGTCGGAGACAGGACACTGGGCTAGGTGGACCTTTGGTCTGACTATATGGCAGTTCTTTCATCCTACATTCCCATCCAAGACCGTCATGCTCTTCTATCCATGTACGTACATGCTGTTCTCTCCTGCCCCCACCCTTGTTACTCCAGCCCCCCAAGTGCTTCATACTCAGGATTGTGGTCCTGTATGAAGATACCTGTCTTATCTCCCTTTGCTGCTCATCTGGCTTCATTTTCTCCATCCTTGGAGACCTCTCCCCTCCACACCTGCCATATGACTCCTGTTGACTTCTGTAGGAATTATAACACATGCCTCAAGGGCTCCTGCGAAGGATGACAGGCTGGATGAGCAGTGGGAAAAGGCAGGAGAAACTATTTGGATGTAAAACAGGTAGAGGCAGTGAAGGATGGCTGCTGGGTTCATTCATTTACATATGCTTTACAGCCACCTTTTCCAGCACATTCCCTCACAGCTGAGCTATTACCTTAGCCAGCAGGGCCCAATAATAAGTGTACAATTCTCCTGTATACTACCCAGCCTGGCTCTGTAACCTTTTCCTTAGCCAGCCCTGATTCCATTTCTCTTTTCTTAATAATATTGACACTCTGCCCTTCCACTGCACTTTTCATCCCAAGCCCTTTGGACACAGTCCAGTCATTAGACTGCACAACACTTTTTGTAGGTAAATATTAGCCCCCAGATGGCAGACAGGGAAACTGAGGCACAGAGAGACAAATGGGTCCACTCACGATTGCACAGAGGAATCAGTGGCAGAGTTGGGCTAGAGCCAAGGATCTGCGGGTTTCAGACCCCGCTCCAGCGACCCTTCAGACAGGAGCACCGTATAGGTTGCAGAGGAAGCCCTGCCATGTCAGTCCTTGCCCTAGGCTAGCACAGCAGAAGTATCCAGGTACCAGTAAACCAAACCATTCCTGTTCATGCGTGTCCTTTCTGACACCCTATCCTCCCCAGGACACTCAAATTACCATCAACTTCATCTGTGTGCCCTATGCATCGTCCACACAGAGTTCATAATGAACTGTGTTTGGTTGGGTGGGGAGGTTTTTACTGGCTATGGGTACGAGGCCTAGGAAGTCTGCCAAGCCATCTAACTGCCCCAGTGAAACTCCACCAGGATTCATCGTCCTCACCTACAAGTGAGCGTTTTGGCAGCTGGTACAGCTAGAGGGGGCAGGGGAAGCACACTTCTGCACTTCATTTGCACTCTTGTTCCCTTTGCAGAGTCGGTGCCCATGGCGGTGATCATAGGCGTGGCTGTGGGGGCAGGAGTGGCATTCCTGGTGCTGATGGCCACCATCGTGGCGTTCTGCTGTGCACGCTCACAGAGAAGTAAGTGCTGTTCCTTTCTGTCATTTAAAAAGCAAGTGCCGGGGCCAAACGGAGAGTCCTGGAGACTGAGGTCCTCTGTGACTACAGAACAGCAACAGCACAGGGTAGGGCCATATGATGTCCCCTGACTCGGAGTCGAGCCTTCCATATTGCAGCCATGAAGGGGTTCCTGCCCGCTGAAGCAATCAACCCATGGTCGCAAAGTCCCTAGTTTGTAGCAGCAGCAAGATCAGCTCTCCCCTGAGCAAACTGCCTGTTGGGCTGGGGCTATGGTGAAATGCTATGCAGAGATAAGAGCTAGGCTGTGTGGAAATTGTCCCAAACTACATTAGCATCCTAACGAATGGCCAGTCCAACCTGCTCAGAGAGCAATCCAGATGATGGCTCCATCCAGCTCTCTAGTCAGAGCTCTCCGACGATGCAGTCTCTGGTGCTTGAGGCCATTTTGTATTGCAGGGAATGCAGCCTGAAATATCAATATCCATGCGTGCTTCTGGCCTGAGCAAAATCAGCAAAGGAACGGAGAGTGTAGGCAGAGGCGAGAAGGACAACATGCTGTGTGAGAGCGTGGGGGGTGGTGTAGGAGGAGAATAATAGTTCATGCAGATTTAGATACTGAGTTTGCCGACAGGACACCATAGCAATCTGGCTGTCATATGCATCTGCAGAATGTTTAATGCTACTTTGCACTCTCCCAGCACCTCCCATGGGAGGATTTCAAAGCACTTTGGTAACAAGACGGGCCACGTTCTAATCTTCAGTACGCCCGCGTGAACTCCGGGCTTCGTTTGGGCATAGCCGAGTCAGATCTCACTGTAATGTTTCATGCAACACAACACCTTGCTTTACAGATGAAGATCTTGAAGCTGAAGGAGATGTTCAAGATCATACAGGGAATCAATGGCAGAATGGGAACAGACTTCCAGAGTCCTAGCACCCAGTGCTGTGCTCTGAATACACAATTTATCACACAGGCAGGATAAAATACAGCTATCATTTAGCACCTCAAAATTAGGCACTGGGGAAGAGCATATTTCTGACTCTGTTCATTCTTTGTTTTTCAAATCTCCTTTGTCACTGTAAGATATGAATTTTCATAAGGAATTACAGTCAGTGGCAGTTACATAGGGCCTGTGGTATATGATACGATTTGCTGCCGAGGGAACACAAGTTAAAACCACATCAAAGGCACAGGTAAAGGAAAGAGGAGGTAAACAGAGCAGTATCATGTTGCCTCATTAAAAAAAACACAGAGAAATTAAAGTGTGATTGTTGGCTATATGAAAAGGAATCAACCCATCCGGGAAAGGAGCGCGATTGTTTTGAGCTTCTAAGGCTGCGTCAGGGAACAAGCAATATTTGACAATGCTTCCGAACTATGGGGACACTGCAATAGAAACAACTAAGCCAAGTGCTGTACGTAATCTCTATGTTTAGTTGCCAGAAAAACACAGTCGGTTTTCTTTTTTGATCGTTTGCAAAGAAATCAAAGATCCCCAACTCCTCCCGAGTGGCTGGTCTCGCACAGCAGAGAAGTGTTTAATTTTAAGGGCAATAATAATGCCTTTTTCTTTTTTTTTTTTGAACTCTCCCAAACGCCATTAGCAGCTCTTGCAGGTATTAGCAAATTAAATCTCAGAGAGTCATTAATCTTGCATTTTAGTAAGTATTACTGATGGACGGGTGCAGCGCTAAGACCTGAGAACCGGCCAATTCAATTTAGCTAAAATCATTCAGCAATGATGTGTGATTCAAGCAGTCCAATAGAAAATGGGCCAAACTGTTGTTGCCATGTCAATGGTCAGACATAATCAGTCGTGCTTTCCCCGTGGTTTTTCGATAGACATGCATGCACTGCATCATTCAGAGGAGGAGAGAGCATGTGGTTCATTATATCCATCTTATTTGATGTAACCAGATGGTACAGGGTTCTTTACGGGACATACAATTTAACATTAACGTGGCAGTGATAGATCAAATATGCAATGGAAACGCCAAGTTTTAGAGCTGAAAGCAAAGCCAGAGATTCAAAGTGTTGGTCACTCACAGGCTGAGCAGCATTGAAATGGTACTGGGCACGCTGCTGACAGCTCTCTAAACCTTGGGGGGAATTCAGTGGCCACCTGCTGTCCAGCTCACAGTCCTCTTGGAGGGGGCTCTCCTCCTTTTCTCAAAACAGTAGCAATCCATTAAAGATTCCTCATTGCCTGCAACAAGAGAAAGGCTGTTCGTTCCCCAGGATCTCCATGTTACACACTAGAAGTTCCCAACAGGGCAAACAGGGTATTGTGTGGCCAAGGTACAACAGCCAGGGGCTGTGCGCTGGGTGGCTGCAGCGACAGGGGGAGCAGCATCCCCTCTAGGTGGGCACCTGAGCCTGATGCAGCAGTCGCACACCACTTGTTACAATACCCTGTTTGCCCTGTTGGGAACTTCTAGTGTGTAACATGGAGATCCTGGGGAACGAACAGCCTTTCTCTTGTTGCAGGCAATGAGGAATCTTTAATGGATTGCTACTGTTTTGAGAAAAGGAGGAGAGCCCCCTCCAAGAGGACTGTGAGCTGGACAGCAGGTGGCCACTGAATTCCCCCCAAGGTTTAGAGAGCTGTCAGCAGCGTGCCCAGTACCATTTCAATGCTGCTCAGCCTGTGAGTGACCAACACTTTG